TAATATATTTCTGTCATAATTTCTTCAAGTTAAACAAGACTTTTATTTTGACAGTTTGCTCTGAAGGTCTTTCGGTTTAAGTTACTTTGAGTTTCAGCGTGTAGGCTGTCGTTTGACAGTCGTTTTTCTCAAATGAAATGGAGTAATGCTTGTGAAGTGACTCGCAGAGCAGCTCTGCAGATGAAGTACATGTGTTCATGTCCTGATATATTGAGACACAGACGCTGAAATCACAGAGTGCGTCGTGTTTGAGTTTGGGTTTTCAGGCGAAACCGAATAGACACACAGAATATGCAGACTTAGCCTATTTACGACAAACACTGACTGGCTGTTATCGCATTTATTTCTGCTGTTAGATTAATCCATATGGAGTAAAAATGTCCAGAGCTTATCAACGTTTTCGACACAAATTTTATCGCGACTCAAAATTGTATTATTTTATCACCCAGCCCTACAAAATCCCCATCAAAGTATCATAAAAGTGGAAAACCAAGCCAAAATTTAAGTCGTAATTCATTGAAAACCTTCTTGTAAGAAGTATCCTGAACGAATCATTTTAAGATGGATCTTTTTAGTGAATCAATTATTCCAGTTCATAAAATGGATCTGAGGGGGCATTTACATGACACTGTTTTCAACTAGAAATGGAAAAGTTTGTATGCGTCATTTGCATGACGACAAACTTTTGAAAATGGTGATGTCATGCACATGTGTCTTACCTGTTCACATAGTATTTCTTTATAAAGTGATATCGCCAACTACTGGCCTGGCATGCATAATACAGCGTTCTAGGTCTTTTTCATGGATACGTGTGAACGGAAATCATTTTGACAATCAGTTGTCTGTTTGACGTTGTTGTGTAAACGTACCCTGAATGATTTGTTTGCTAATCTTACTTACCTGGTTTAACTCACTGTAGGCACTGCACTGAAACAGCATGCAGGGGACCAAATTTGCAGTGAATTACAATATAACGTTCGTTCCCAGTCCTTATTTCCTTTCATTACATGGAAGAAAATTTTATATATATATATATATATATATATATATATATATACAGTATATGAATATATATTCATTAAAAATTCACATTTTATGTTCCATGGAAGAAAGAATGAGAATTTTGGGGTGAACTAATACTTCTATATTTCTACATTTGAGGCAGGCAGTGGAAGCACTATCTGTCTAGCATACTACGCTATCCGAAGTGGGGGCTTAAGATTCACGACTCCAGTTGGCGATTTATTCAGTAGAATTTCAGAGGCGACTTAATTCACCCTAGCCTGCGCTCGCTCACTCAAAGTTAAACCCAGGAAACAAATCAGCTTGCCGCAACCCCTGCCATTTTTAAACTTGTTGTATATCTGCAAGAATTGAGTCACTGTGGTCCTCACAGGGATGTGTGAGATATGACAGGTCTTTTGTAGCTGCTCAGCATTCGTTTGTAATGATAAATCCCCCTCCCTCCTGCTACCTATTGAAAATCAGTATAGAACATTGGATTTGAATTGATGTTGCTTGGGCTCCAAAACTCAAAGCAGCATGACTTACTGGGGATGTTTCTGTGATACGGCATGGCATTAACACCAGTTTGCAATTCCTCGATTTGACTGCATGGGGATGGCATATGGTTCCAACAAGCCTGTTTGATCAATTACCAAGGAAGAATGCCAAAACTATTCAGCAAAAGAAGATTTTCTTATCAAAGTGATAAAATGTTGTTGCAAAAATGAGTACACCCTCCTGAAAGTTACTAACTAAAAAAAAAAGTATATAGGTTTAAGGCTATTTTTGATCAACAGGTAAGTATATTGATCCAAAACTTTTAAAGACAAGTAATTTCCTGACAATTAAAAGTGTTATATAGCCCACTGAATCATACTCGGACTTAATGCTGGCAGCAGTGGAACCACTTGAGAGAGAACAGGTGACTTATTTCTTAGGATAAAAGAGAACAATGGTACAAGAGGAATACCAAATTATTGTTTTAAGTGTGAAAATATAGCAGAAGTAGCACCGACATTCAAAAACAATGGACAATGGGCTCCTGAAATAATCAGGTCTTCACTTTAAGTTTTCATTTAGTGATGAGTGAATTTTTGCTAGAAGAAGAGCAGGAGAAATAACATGCAAATGTCTCAGAGCTGGCAAAAGCTATGAAAAGAGTGACACTTTATCTCACAGAGTATGACGCAGCCTGCAGAAGTGACATGCATGGTTGTTGTCACCACTAGAATTATATAGCCAAAGCAAAATAAACTAATTTAACCTCTTCCAGTTCAGTGGACATGTATTTCACTCAATCTTAACGCTCTTGAGCAGCTGTGAGAGATTCTGTAGAGACAAGCTGAGCAACACTCCCCATTAAAGATCAGAGCATTTAAGGAGGTCGTCCTCAGCACAGATGTGAAAATTTGTCATGAACTTGTACACTCAGTGGCAAGAAGGGTCAGAGCAGTATACTTTAAGTTCTGGAGGACATACTAAGCATACACATTCAACCGGATTGCTTTTGTAGTGTAAACGTTCATGTGGTTGAACGCTTTCGAATAGCCACTAAAGACCACCTCCTTTCTGCTTACTGGCCTAATTCTTAAACATTACTGGACGTTACTGAAGCATACTAGTCAGATGGGATTTAAACTTTCATAAGTTTGATTTGAAGTAGTGCTGTCAAAATTAACGCATTAATGCATGCGATTCATTTTATCAGTTTAACGATTAAAAATATTTAACACAATTAACCACATCAAATGGGAGACTTACACTGTGCTCGTCAATTGCACGCACAAATGCGGCGGTCCGCACTATAGCCTTTATCAATTCATATTAAAGTGTAAAAGAAACTACGAGCATGCAATGTCATAGTTATGTCGTCAGTTCAGTCATGAAATTACCAAAAAGGCGATTAAAGCTGCCTTAAAACTGTGCATGCATGTACACAAGTATCTGTTATATATGAGTCACATGTAAGAACATGTCTCCGAAATGCAGTGGTTTTCAAAACTGTCCTGGAGCACCACAGCACCCTCATCTCTCCCTCAATCTCCTTCATCAAACACACCCGATTCAACTTGTCAGTTCATTGGTAAAGACTTTAAGGGGCCGTTTACACGACAACGTTTTCAGTCAAAAATGGAAAACGATTTATGTGTTTTGCCTGTTCGTTTACACAACAACGGCGTTTTGGGGACTGAAAACGCATATTTTTGAAAACGTGTTTCAAAAAAGTTTTTGAAAATGCCACCGTTATCGTTTTTTTTTGTGTAAACACCCAATACAGGAATCTTTGAAAAAGGTTACATCATGCACGTGCATAGCACGTGTTAGGTATGTAGACATGCGCAGTACGTGTCAATTTTAAAGGCAAGCGCGAACAAACATACACAACAATGGCGGAGTACATTGTACTGTTGTTGCTGCTCAAGAGTTAGCTAACGCTTCTTCAGCAAAGTGTGGATTTACTTCACCAATATTACAACCAACAGCAGAGACCCATCATATACAACATATAATCGTCACTTCACCACATGTACTGTTTACTAACAAGGTGACAGCGCCAACTACTGGCCTGGCATACGTAATATAGCATTTTTGGCTGTTTTCGCGGATATGTGTTAACGCAAATCGTTTTGAAAACATTGTCGTGTATATGTGCAACTTTTTAAAAACGCAAGGGAAAAACGTTTCCGTTTTTGACTACATCGTTGTCGCGTAAACGTAGCCTATGACCTGAAGTGGGTCAGAAAAGGTAAAGAGTTGTTAGAAAATATGATGCGTCTCAGATCCGCATCATGTTCAGCAGCGGCAGCTCTTAAAGCAGCCAAAATAACCTAATAACCCAGTTGCTGTGGTGCCTGTTAATCAAAGAACAAAAGAAAAAGAGGAAATCAATATCTTTTGTAGCTTTAAGGATTCATCTATATACTGTCTTTGTTGTTTCTACGTTAATTTGAAGATTGAATGTGAAATTATTGCAATATAAAAGTATATTTATAAACTTTATACTTTATAAACTGAGATTAATTGCGATTAATCGCAATTAATTTCAGAAAAAATGTGCGATTAATTAATTGTTTTAATCGATTGACACCACTATTTTAAAGGTAAAAATGTAAAAAGCACAATGTTCTCATACAAGCCCTAATTCTAACACAGCATTCAGAATAGTTTTGTGACTGTCGGAGCAGAAACGAAAGCTACTGCTCTGCGTATCGTTTTCCATTGTCTCCTTTAATGTTCTTATGTAAATTGCGCAAGCTTTTTTCGCTTATCACTTATTTCACTACATCGAAAGATCAGAAAAAGCCCATACATTGAGATGGTCCTCACTGCTGAACACAAGATCCAGGGGGCGTGGTTGGATCCAGATCCAACTCCTCCCACCTTACATATACCTAAACCTACCCGTCTCCACCCCCTGATCCCTAAACCCCCCCATCTACACCCCTAAACCTACCAATCTCCACCCCCTAGATGTGGATCCAACCACGCCCCCTGGATCTTGTGTTCTGCAGTGAGGGGCTACTGCATACGTGCACCCGCCCATAGACTCTCTCCTCACAGAAATCAGGAAAGTGGTTGAAAGTGACAAAGAGACAGATTCAAACACCAGGTGTGAACAGGAATGTGTCTCTATTGTCTACTTGTGATCCGATCAACCAAAATGCATCTTAATACCATGTGTAAACCAGGCCCCCTGTATAGTAAATCTGGCCTTTGGTTTGTAAATTGTATAAAAGCAATGGTTTCAAATCAGCAAAGCTGTGCTGTTTCTCAGCGAAAAGATGAGTGGTATCAACAGAGAAATGAAATGACTGCCTGCTCCAGCTGAGTTGCTTACCACTGTATTTAGTGAACTGTGGGAAGTAATGAGTCTGCGCGTCTTATATTAACACACGACCCATAATTGGCTAATTATAGCGGTTGTTCCGCTGGTGTTTAGAGCACAAATCCAAAGCGTCTTCTCACGCCGTGCTCTCCGTCTCCTCCTCCTCCAGATCCCAACGCGCTGACGCAGCCCGGCCCCGACCACGCACTCATCGGCGGAGTGGTGGCTGTGGTGGTCTTCATCACCCTGTGCTTCATCATCGTCCTGGGCCGATATCTGGCCAGGCACAAAGGTACGGCTTCCCTCCCCTCTCTCGCCCCCTCACCTATAGTGTGCAAAATGCTTGAACATGTCCACTGTTGTACCTCATGTGTCTATGTGACCTATGTGGGACTGTGTGGACAGGGACATACTTAACCAATGAGGCCAAAGGAGCGGAGGACGCCCCTGACGCAGACACTGCCATCATCAATGCGGAGGGGAACCACGCACATGCAGAGGAAAAGAAAGAGTACTTCATTTAGCACCTCTGTTTTTTCTGTTCAGTATTTTCACGGCAACACTGCGAGCCAGCAGAGGAGGCGTTATAGCGCTCCGCTCCCTCACAGCACTAGTCTGGTCTGGCTTTTCTCTCTCTTTGTCTCCTCGACTCCAGTCAGAGTTGTTTTGCGAACCTCTTTAAGGCCAAATTTGACTCGCCACCTGCTGCAAAAGAATGTTGCCTTTGGTTAAACCAATCCTAATCGTCCAAAACAAAATAAAAATACATCGAAAACAAAAAATCTGTTGAGTTTGTAACTGTAACACCAGGTCCATTTAGGCCAAAAAACCCTATCCCACCCTTCCAAAATGACCCCCGTTTGATTTGCCAAGTGCCAAAATATACAGACATGTGCTTGTCATGTTTGTTGCTGTGTTTATTCATTTAATTTCCCAGTGAATACTGATTTCTCAACCACCCTCACTGTGCCTGTTATATACCTTTTTACAGATATTACCAGGGAGCGGCAAGAAATGTGGTTCATCTCAAGTCGGAAAACCTTGGCTTTGCCAATAATTACGCTTTAAGACAAGAATATGTGAGATGTATAATGTAAATATCATGTACTGTCTTTGTTTATGTGTGCGTGTCTGTTGTTTTCCATTGTAAAAGTGGGTGTGTTTTTTTTAAGTATGCCCTGTAATAAAGAATGTTCCCAAGAGATACAGACAATTATGTAATGTACGGACACCCGAAACAAGCCGGAAGATTGAAAGTGGCAGGAACTCGATGAAGCACAAATGAGAATTGGTGTGTAACCATTAGAAGCGAGATTATTTTCTATTTCCATCATACCTGTCTGTATATTCTTGCACTGTTAATATCCCTCCCCCCACCCAGCTCCGAGCGTTTATTTCAAACCTGAAAATGTATCAAACGTAAGCACAAAGTCATTGTAAAATGTCATTGGTTTAGACAGTCTCAGGATGAAAAGAAGAGCCTAATTGAATTTGTCTTTTATCACTCGAGTGAATGAATTTTTGTTCTCGCTTTGTGAATTGATCTAAGCGGCCATTTGTTCGACGTTTGAATGGAAGTTCAGCATTGTTTCATTTCGATTTGCTGACTGACCATTGTTAATATTGCTGTATATTACTTTGCTTAAGTGATTATTGGTGGAATATTGTTCAACTATAGGATCCCGTATATATATATATATATATATATGAGAAAACAAATGTCAAAATATCTATTTCAAGTGTCCCATATTTTAGTTTATATTAGTGAAGAAAATATTTGTTTGTTGGTTTGTTTTTCCCAACCCAGGAAATGTATATAATGTGTATACTTCAGCATTTAGTAAGCTGTCTATTTAATTAAATTTGAATTCTTTATTGCTCTGTTTTATGCTACATGTGTGCATTTCCATTTTAGCCTCTCTATATTAAGTATGTGCCGACGGATACTTGTCATTAATACTCATTTATTGGGAAAATCTGATGGACAAACACAACACATTACTATTAGTGCTTTTTCTAAGCTTGTGAACAGATAGGATCGTTTGTTCATGAGAAGGTCAGAACAGCAATCACCATTATTGCCTTTGTGTTTGCAGCAGAACATACGACCACACATTGAAGCTCTGGAGAAGTGTAATCTTCAGTGTACGTTTTTACGAAACAATGTTTCCAGTGTTCATACTTTATTTCACTCTTTATAACATCAACTAGAACGAAGACATTTTTCTAAGAACTTTTGATTTGCTTTACTGTTTTTTGCTGTATGGGAAAATGTGTGAGGTTGCTTTTACATTAAATATCTGACTTTTTCAAACTATGCCTCTGTAAGAAAAGAAAAAAAAACTCAGAGTACTGAGTAAAATATGCACAAACTCAGATTTGTGTTTTCTTCTTCACGCAACACATAAGTCTGTCTGAACATTAAACACACACACACACACACACACATATATATATGTAAAAAAAATCACATATAATTCAATATCTAATTTGAATAAAATTATGAATATGCAAATATGTTGGAATAAAAATATGAATATCACATATGTAATTGTATTATTATAGTATATTAATTCTACATTATATTATATAAAATATATTATTATAATAAATATGTAATTTATATATTATTAATTAAAATAAAAAATACAAGAAATAAAACTTTTTATTTTGATCATTTATTAATATAAATTGCACACAGTCTAATGCTTGCATTATAGTATTTAGGTGCTTAATACATGAGTAAATCAGATCCTTGAGTTGGAATAATCTTTTAAACATTCTGAAATGGGCTTGTATTATGAATTTCGTGGCTACATGCTGCCCCCAAGAGCCAGAAGCTCCCAGTGCATGAGAATGTGGAGGTTCTTCTTCTCTCAAAGCTTTGTTTATGGTTTCCAACTTTAAGTGGCTTTCTGATGAAAATTTCAAATCCTGTACTTCTTTCCACTGTGCCACCAAGGCGACAGCTTTACGTAATCCATAGTGCGAGTTGGCAGAGAAATTACAGGAAAGGATTTGAGGAGATCAAAAAATTGGGAAGGAGCAATGCAGTGTGTTCAGCCTTAAATCTAGACTGAGGCTTAACTGAATAACCGACACAAAACCATTACATTTCTCTGCGCTCGCAAAGATTGTGTGCTGTGTGTTTAAATGTTAGTTAATGCTTGTGGGTCAACTTCAGTTGATGGAATTAACCATTAAAAATGGATAGACTTTACAGCACAACAATGGAAACTTATCTATTTTAATATGGGTTTTTAAGGACAAGTTTGGAGTTAATGGTCATTCGGGGCTCTGGGTAAATTAAAAAACTAAACCTGATTATAAACAGAACATGAGCTATTGTAGTTGTTGAAGATGTTTAGTAACAGTATTACTACCACTAATACTATTAATATTCATCATAATCATTGTAATCTTAAAATTAATGCTCATCTTGCCATTCTGTCAAAGGAAGGAGTATTTAGTTACTAGTTGTTGCTAGATGACAGTATATCACAGTAACTATGTGTTTGAATCAGAGGTTCAAACATCTAGTTCAAAGTTGTCATAAATGTAAACCATTTTAATTAATTACATTCTGCAAACTAACATATCATGTTATATTTTTGATATATCTGCTGGGTAACTGAACACAATAAAATCACACTGATATGCATTCAGACAAGAATCTAACTATATAATAAAGGTAGATTTTAACTGAAAGACTCATAAATGTCAGCTTAGGGCAAGCGGTCACATTTTTATTGGTTTCATTTATTTATTAAGCCTTTTGTCACAATATTTTTGGCCAAAACAATGGTTAATACAGACTAGAACCTATAATATGATATTTAATGGCAGATTTTGAGTGTAACAACATGTTCTACTCAGCATGTGTTTAATGAGCTGTATCATTTCCCCTGGACAATATTGGTTAAATATTCAAAATATTTCAATAGAAATGAACTAATTCATAAAATAAACCCACCCTGAGAAATATACACTGCAGTGTGACAAGTAGCCCCAGTCTCCCATGTGTTATATCTCATCTTTTATTGCAAGAGTTTTACTAATTCATCTCAAGCTTGTCGGAATTTGCCGTCTGTGTTAAATCCCAAGAGACTTAATTATTAGGATTGATATTTTCCCAGAGCAGTTAACATGGAATATTTTTTGGCCCGCTTCCAGTTTGCTGTTTGACTGTAGTTTGAGTTTTCAAATCAGCGGCGAGGCCAAAAATCTCTTTGTGAAACAGGGTGGATTTCTATTCTGTGCCTCCAATGAATGTTACTTACACAGTAAAAAAAATTCTGTAAAATTTACGGTAAAAAAACCGGCAGCTGTGGTTGCCGGAATTTTACAGTACAAAATATGGTAGCAACGTTTTAGGTTTTACGGTTTTAACTTAAATTTACAGTTAAATACCGTAATTTCATTAACTGATATAATGTTAATATACTAACCTATCTGAAATCTGTTCTGTACCTTTGTAATACACTGATAACCACCAAATGCAGGTGGCAATGAGAAAGTCACATGATGAACCAAAGCCCATCACAAGTAGCTTTTAAATAATAACATATATAGAAGGTGCACAGTGTCATTCACACAAACACTAAACACCATCATGGTAACACACATGAAACTGCAATAACACAATAAACATTAATTTAACAACATTAGGTGTAACACACTACCCTAATATACAAAACTGATAGGAAAAAAACTAAGAAACATAGTTATTTCAACAAAATAATCGGGTTTGTAGTATACTACCGTAAAATGAATGTCCAATACAGTTTTTCACCGTATATAGTAAGGGAATTTACCGTTAACCATTTAACAGGTTTTTACTGTAGCATTTTTACAGTCTTTTACCGTTAAATTCACGGTCATTTTTTTACAGTTTACAATTACAGTAAATGGGTTTGGGTTTTTAAATGAATAAATAATTCCAATTAGGGTGACAACATCAAACTTGAAAACATGCATTTAATTATGAATTATACGTTTTTAAAAATACTCTGTAATTTCGTGTCAAAGACATACTGAAAATACACATCGGGACTCGAAACACTGAATCTTTTCCGAATCTGTTTATTCAAGAACCATCTGAATTAACCAGTGAGTCTGACTTTCCAAAGCTACATACATTTTGAGAGAGAGAGAGGTCCATTTAGGACAAGAATAAATCAAACTTTCCAAAGCTATAAATACTGCATGAAAGAGGTGTCCAATCAGTGCAAACTGATTCATTCTTTTAGAATGATTCGAAATTTCCAAAACTACATGTGGGAGAAGGACGAATATTTAAGACGAACTGATTCACTAGAATAAATCAAACTTTCCAAAGCTACATATGAGAAAGCGGTATGTCTAGGACTAACCGATTCACTAGAATGTATCAAACTTTCCAAAGCTTCATAGGAGAGAAGTAGGACTAACAGATGAATCGGATTTTCCTAGCTACATATGAGAAAGAGGTTTGTTTAGGACAAACTGATTCACTAAAATGAATCAGATTTCCAAAGCTTCATATGAGAAATGGAGGGCAATTTAAAAGAACTGATTTTCTAGAATGAATCAAACTTTCAAAAGCTTCATTCTGTATAAGAGAGATGTCCGTTTGAGGTGAACCAATTAAGTGAATCATACTTTCCTAAGCTATATAAGAGAGGTCAATTTAGGAAGATCCGATTCATTCACTAGAATGAATCGAAATTTCCAAAACTAATTACCATAGAGGTCCATTTAGGATAAACTGATCGATTTACTAGAATCAAATGAAATTTACAAAGCTACATATGAGAGAAGGAGGACTATTTAAGACAAACTGATTCGCTAGAATGATTCTGACTTTTCAAAGCTACATACTGTATGAGAGAGGTATATTTGGACAAACAGATTCACTAGAATGAACCAACCTTTCAAAGCTACATATGAGTGAGATGTGTTTAAGACAAACAAATAGAGTAGAATGAATCAAAGTTTCCAAAGCTACATATGAGAAAGGTATGTTTAGGATGAACCGATTTCCTAGAATGAATCTGACTTTCCAAATATACATATAAAAGAAGGAAGACTATTCAGGATAAACCGATTCACTATAACGAATCATACTTTCCAAAGCTATACATACTGCATGAAAGAGGTGTCCAATCAGCATGAACTGATTAATTCTCTTAGAATGATTCGAAATTTCCAAAGCTACATGTGGGAGAAGGGGCAATATTTGAGACTAACTAATTCACTAGAATTATCTGAATCTGAATTCACTGAATCTGACATTTCAAAGCTACATATTGTGTAAGAGAGGTGCGTTTAGGACAAACTGATTCATTAGAACTTTCCAAAGCTACATAAGAGAGAAGTAGGACTAACAGATTAATCGGATTTTCCTAGCTACATATGAGAAAAAGGTTTGTTTAGGATGAACTGATTCACTAGAATGAATCAGATTTTCCTAAGCTACATACTGTAGAGAGGTCCGTTTACAAGTTCACTGCACTACAAAAAAAATGCTTTTCTTACTTTAGAGTTTTTGTCTTGTTTCTAGTCCAAATATCTAAAGTAAGAAAAGCATTTTTTTTGTAGTGCAGTGAACTTGTAAACGGACCTCTCTACAAAAAAAATGCTTTTCTTACTTTAGAGTTTTTGTCTTGTTTCTAGTCCAAATATCTAAAAATTCTTAAATCAAGAAGCATTTTCTAGACAAGTAAAAATAAGTCA